ATCTGACAGTCTCTTGTCCTCATTGGGCATTGTACAACATGGGTACACTTACCTACATGCAGGCAATACACATATACACATAAAATAAAAATAATAAAATTTTTTAAAAAAGGAACACACAATGCTCCCCGCTTTACTCGTCCATTTCCTAATCTCCTTTTCCTTACCGCCTGTTCCAGGTCTCAGTTTAAATGCCATTCTCATCAGGCTACCATGGTGCTACCAGGCTAGCACAGGGCCATCAGGCTAGTACAGTGCCCGGGCATAAGCTCAATGTATCTGCCGTTCCTTCATAACCTGCAGCACAATTTTAAGAAAATGACTCTGAGTATCCAACACATATGCTCACAGATAACAATCTTTACCCTTGAGGGAACAATAAATACACCAAGAGAACCTATGCCTAAAATGGGTTTTGACAAGCAAGATATGGATCAGCAGTTAAGTGCCCTTGCCACCAAGCCTAATAACCTGAGTTTGAGCCCCAGATCCCCAGAACCCAGACCATGGAAAGAGAGAACCACTTCCTAAGTTAGCCCTTGATCTCCACATATGCCCCCACAACACACACACACAGTATCATTCAAAGGGAGGGAGGGAAGGGAAGTCTCAATAAAAAGCTTGACAAATGGCTGGGTATACAGCTCAGTGACAAAGTATGTACTTAGCATATATGAGGTCCTGGGTTCAATCCCAGTAGCGGCAAGGAAAAAACAAACAAACACCTCATCAATTTAAATCATTTCAGAGATTGAATCAAGCTAGCAGCTTTGCCATTTTTTAAATTATTTTATGTGTATGAGTGTATTGCCCGCATATATGTAAGTACACCTATGTTATACAATGCCCAAGGAGGTCAGAAGAGGGCATAGGACCCCCCCTGGAACTGGAGTTACAGACAGTTGCTAGCCACCATGTGGGTGCTGAGATTCAAACCCAGGTCTTCTGCAAGAGCAGTCAATGCTCTTAACCACCAAATCATCTCTCCAGCCCCAGCTTTGTCATTTTTTATATCCTTGTCCTGCTCTTGTGGTAGTATGCTGTCCTTGACTACTCATAGTGCCTTACCAAAAAAGAACTTACACACAAGCGGTGGTCTCAATCATGAACATAAATCATAATTATCTGGTTTGTACCTGTTACAAATACAGAATCCAAGGTTCTATTCTCTGAGGGTCTGATTTAGTAGCCCTGAGGTAGGAGCTGTCCCTCAAACTCCCAACCTATTTTACTTTACTTTATTATGTGACCCTTTTCAAGTTGGTATATACACATTATACATAGTGTTGAGTTTCATACCAAACTACATTTTAAATACTTAACCCATGTGACTTTTGTCACAGGGATCCTTCTCCCAGCCACCAGGAAAACCAGCCAGAGAACGTTCTCATCTCACCTTCAGTAAGGACTAAGCTGGAGATACTACAGTTAATTCTGACATAATGATTTAGGTTCCCACCTTGAAAACTCAGGGACAAAAACCTCCTTACTAACTGAGCACCACTCACCTATTAGACACTTGGAGACTGCCATGGTTTGCTCTTTCACAAGGATTATACACTAAACAGCAAGTCCAATGTTAAGCCTCCAATGAACACTCAGCATTGGCTGGAGCAGCCCAACAAGACAACTTGGTTAAGAAAGGTCCAGGATGCTCTGGTTGTGTTTTGTGTCTTATGATCCTAAAATCAGACTGACTATAAATTTCTGCTAAAGACCTCTGGTAGAAACATCTAGAAGACAAAGATCTTTCTCTTTGATTCCTCTAAGAGCCCAGCACAGTGCTGAACAGAAAAACAGAAGGCATTGGTGCCCCTGTTAGGATGTAGAAGGAAAGGGACTTTTGATCTAGTTCCCATCTGATAACAATGTCAACAAGTACCTGAAGGGAATTCTGAGGAAAATCATTAAGGGCAGAATAATTTGCAGTTTAGTTCATTCTCTTTAGAACAAATGTTGAGAGGGCTTGACCCAGCCCCCTAAATAATATTTTTAGTTGATTTTCTAATTTCCTTTATTTACTGTACTTCATTCACATGAATTCTAGCAACATGGAAATTGGTCATGAAATATTATTCATTCCCAAGCTGGGTGTGGTGGCTCATGCCTATGATCCCAGCACTCTGGAGACTGAGGCAGAAGGACTGCAAGTTCAAGCCCAGCATTGACTACACAGCAAGATCCTATCTCAACAAAACAAAACCAAAACAAATAGATAAATTTAAAAAATCCACAGCATTCTCATTTTGCAACATGAAAAACTGAAAACTTGCTATTAGTAGAAATAGTATATGTGTATATTTGCATTAAATTCCAATTCTAGTACTTACCAGTTGTGTGAGTTACTTCTTCAATCTCATTTTCCTTATATGTAAATGGGAAAAATAAGTTCAACTTCACCATGATTTGAAAATATGACCATGTAAATAGAGTACTTAAGGTATCTAGTTTACTACAGGTACAATGTAAATAGTGGCTGATGTTACCTGAAGCATCTACACTCTAAATATCAGAAAACAAGGTAATCTTCCTACCAGTCTAAATGTCTTATCAGTGAAATTTTTACAGTCAAAAATACATTTTTTGGTATATTTTAGGAGCCTTTCAATGAGAACACCTTCAATTTATTCACTCAATTCCTATTCTTTATTTTTTTAAATATTCTATTATTTTATGTGTATGAGTGTATTACCTGCATATGTGTAAGTGCAATCAATGCCTGCAAAGGTCAGAAGGTGTTGGATCCCCTTGAACTGGAGTTATGGACCATTGTTAGCTGCCATGTAGGTGCTGGGAATCGAATCCGGGTCCTCTACAAGAGCAGTCAGTGCTCTTAACCACTGAGCCATCTCTCCAGCCCCTCAACACCTATTCTTAAATAAGGTTTCTATCCTTGGAGAGTCCTACGCAGGCCCTATTAATTTCCCATTTCTCTACAACTATTTTTAAAAGTCTTCTTTTCTAAGTTAGTTGTAGTGGCTCATGCCTAAAATCCCAGAAGTCAAGAAGTCAAGGCAGAAGGATTGGCTTAGGTTCAATGCCAGCGTGGGGGTACAGAATGAGTTCAAGGCCAGCCTATGTTATAGTCAGACTAGGTTAGTATGAGATTCTGTCTCAATAGAAAAAAAAATGGGGGAGGGGGTAGGGCTGGGAGCCTGGAGAGATGGCTCAGTAGTTAGAACACTTGCTGCTCTTTTAGAGGACACAAGTTTAGTTCCCAGTACCCACACTGGGTGGCTCACAACCACTTGTAACTCCAGTCTCAGAAAATCCAACACCCGCTGGCCTCTGTATGCATCTGCACCCATGTGTACATACCCACAATCAGACATGCATCTACATATAATTTAAAATAATAAAAATAGGCCGGATGTGGTGGCGCACGCCTTTAATCTCAGCACCCGGGAGGCAGAGGCAGGTAGATCTCTGTGAGTTCAAGGCCAGCCTGGTCTCCATAGAGAATCCAGGACAGCTGGGGCTACAGGGAGACCCTGTCTCAAAAAGACCAAAAAAAATTAAAAATAAAAAAATAAAAATAAAAATAAATCTAGCCGGGTGTGGTGGCACACACCTTTAATCCCAGCACTTGGGAGGCAGAGGCAAACGAATCTCTGTGAGGCCATCTACATAGTGAGTTCAAGGACAGCTGGGGCTACAGGGAGACCCTGTCTCAAAAAGACCAAAAATAAATAAATAAATAAATAAATCTTAAAAAAAGACAAAAAAGGGTTTTTTTTTTCTTTAAAACCTTACCAGTCATTCCCTCTTAAATGTCCTCTCTTTTCAAGCCCTAATTAGTCCTGAGAGCTCTGGCCTACTACTAAGGACTCCCATCCAAGGAGGCTTTCACACAAAAACTTCGAAGTTTGCAAATGTTTGCACCAACATTATTACAAACATTTGGTCCATGCTATTGCCCAATTAAATACACAAGGCTGATGTGGTATCTAGATTTTACAATGAAAAACAAAGATACGTGGCTAGAAAAGAACATAAACCCAGTCTAGATTCAGTTTTTCAGATTCCATGTTTAGTAATCTCTCTACTCAATTTATAAAACTGTTTCTTGTATATAACTGTTCCTTTATATTATTCATGAAACATGGAGAAAAACCATTTTTGTATATCCTGATATTAAAGTATTGCTACAAAGAGCAGCTTCCTCCCTACAGTTACTTTCTAGAGTACAGGAACAATTCAGTTACTCTAAAACACTAAGCCCAAAAGCTACTTTCAATACTTCCTGTCCAATCTTCAAGTAAAAAAGAATTCTGGGTGGCTGCATGACAAGGGCTAAGAGCCTGGGCCACAAGCTCTCCATGCTGTCCTACAGTTCATAACTTTCAGCATGTGCTCTCTCTTCTCCCAAGGGTGTTTTCCTCAGTCTGACATCCAAATGGGAACAAATCTCAACCACAAACGACCCTTGTCTCCAAAGAGACTCGTGTCCACAGCTAAGTCTTCCTCCTCAAGCACCGCAGAAGCTCTCCGGACATTGATTAGTGTTCCTCCTATCTTCATATTCCTTGTCTGAAAAACTTCATCTTCCTGAGTCCATACCTTCTAGACCCTCCCTCCCACCGCCCCACACTCACCCTTGCACCGCCTCCAAAAATCTCCCAGCCTCGGGGGTTGGCGGGCGATACTTCCTATCTCTCCAGGCCTGGATCGCCTGTCCTGCAGTCTGACGCCCCGATCCGGCCCCAGCACACTGCAGCCCCCTTCAGTACCCCAAAGCTGGAGGCCCATCAGCCGGATCCCTGCCCCGCCTCCCCGCCCAAGGCGCCAAGTCCTCGGAGCTCCATCTCCAGGCCCGGGCCGGACTCAGAGGGCCCCGGGCACCGCAGAAAGGTCAGGAAGGGGGCTGCAGCCGCGGTCAGGACACCAGGTGAGCCAGGCGCTCGGGCCAGGTGGCTCCGAGCGCGGCCAACTCCCGGTTCCCGTGACCGGGATTCAGCCCTCCAGCTCTGCCGGCCCGCGCCTCCGCGGCCTGCCCTCACCTGATCCAGGTTCTCGTCGCTGCCGCTGTCCTCCGTATCCGAGTCGATCACCACGCGGCCTTTCCGTTTCTTGACCATGGTGGTCCCCCGGCTCCCACGCCGGACGTCGCCCGGACGCCTCTCTTGCCCGCCTGCCAGTGGGACCGCCGCCACCGCCGCCGCAGCCGCCGCTCGACCCACACAAAGGCGACCGCGCATGCGCGCTCCGCTCCGCCCCTGGCCCCGCCCCCCGCTTGGCGCACGCCGTTCGCCGGAGCCTGGCTCCCCGCCCCACCTCACCCCGGACGCAGCGCGAGGGGCAGGGCCTCGTGCCTCCAGGTTCCGGGCTGAGTCTGGGGCGTCCCTTCGGCTGTTGTGTCGGAAGCCTTGACTGTGTGGTTGCGAGACTCCCAGGGGTCCCTACATGTCCGTGGTTGGAGCCGCAGGCCTGGGTTCCCTCTGAAGAAGCTCCCACGTCTCCAGCCTTGTAAGGCGCCTTAGGGGCCATCCCCGGCGGAAGATAGTCCGTGCTAAGGCACGGGTTGAGGCTTGGAACCTGCCTACCTGGCCTGGACCGGAAGAGTGGGGAAGAGGGTTCCAAGCAACAACTGTAGGCAAAGGTCCAGAGATAATAAAGTTGAGTTCAGGGAACTGAAATCCCGTTATGGGGAAACAGCAGGTGCCGAGGGTGTGGGATGAGCTGAGAGACGCAGCCGGGAAGGATGCGATAGCCCAATCAGATATATTTACGAGTTTCAAGCCCGCTTGGGTTGTCGCCTATCTTCTTGGTTAGGGGACGATGGTGTCTTCAGCACTGAAACATGCAGTGGAAATGGAGGGAAGTGGATGGATTCTGGTTATTTGCAAGGTCGAAGTTTTAGGATTTGAGGTTAGTTGACTGGAGAAAGGTCCCAGATTCTGGTTTAGGAAGCTGTAGGCAAGTGAACCCTTACCATAAGAAAATACAAGTGTGGTGGCACACGCCTTAAATCCCAGAGGCAAGCAGATTTCTGTGAGAGCGAGGCCGGTCTGGCTACATAGCCTGTTTAGGCAAGCTGGGACTACTGGGTACCCGGAGACCCTGTCTCCAAAAACCAAACAAAACAAAGATTAAAAAACAAAACGGGAGAAGAAAGTTTGGAGAGATGTAGGAAATAAGTTTTATGTCTGTTGAATTTGAAGTCATCTGCTAAAAAGTTCAACATCAGAAATGAATAATGAATTTTTAGTAGGATTTGTAGTATAAGTTAGAGATAATAAACATAATTTGAAACTGTTTTCAAATCTTTTTAGAGCCCATTAGTGCATTCATTCTGTAGTGAATTTGGGGATTCAAATCTTTAAGCAGGGTGTAAAATTTCTGCTCTCTAGCTTTCTAGTCCACTTTTCCTCTACAAGTTTTATTTCTCTACAAACAGTACACATCACAGATACTAATCCAGCTACTTAGGAGAGGAGGTTAAGGCAGGAAGCCCACAAACAAATTCAAGTCCTGCCTAGGTCTACATAGTGAGCAAAGTCATCCAGAGCAACTTACTAAGACCTTGTCTCTTAAAAAAAAAAATTATAAAGGGCTGGGGGTGTAACAGCGTTAGAGTATGTTCAGTTCCCTGTATTAAAACCAACAACAGGAGCTGGAGAGATGGCTTAGCTATTGAGAGCATTTGCTGCTCTTTTATGTTTATTTATTTATTACTATTACTGGTTTGAAGGCAGGGTCTCCCTGTAGCTTCAGCTGGCCTGGAACTAGGTATGAAGACCAGGCTGGCCTTGAACTCACAGAAATCCACCTGCCTCTACCTCTCCAGTGCTGGGATGGAGTGCCCCACCATGCCTGGCACTTGCTGCTCTTTTAAAAAAAAAATATATTTTTTTCAAATTTATTTAGAATTTCATACATGCTTATAAGGTGTTTTGATCAAATCCATGCCCACTCCTTCCCCTCCAACTCCTCCCATATCTCCCCATGACTTTTTTCTGTCAACTTCTTGTACTTTTTTTTTTTTTTTAAATGGGGCTTTTTGCTACTCTCATTTCCCCGCCCCCAGAGGTAACCCTAAAATCTTTTAGGGATTAGATAAAAGCTCCCAAATACTAGATATGGTTCCAAGCAACAACCATAGGCAAAGGTCCAGAGATAATAAAATTGAGTTTAGGGAACTGAAATTCCATTGTGGGGAAACAGCAGGTATCAAGGGTGTGGGGATGAGCTGAGAGACACCACCAGGAAGGATGCAGTAGCCCAATCATTTTGACATTTGGCCTTTAGAACAGAGTATGTTGCTAAGAGGCCCCAAAATATTTTGACTTTTAGCCAAGAAACTGGCTACTTTTCTTTGGGGTCTTTTTACCCAACTGCCTAGCCAATTCCTACTTCCTATTCTTATCACACCATCCTCTGAAGAGGTTACCCAAAATGCCGATAGGGAATCGGGATGCAGACCACTCTGGCTTCTTCCATGCTGAACAGGGATGCCCTTCAGTGGGTCTATCTAAAAGATTCCCAAATTGCATAACTCTTATCTGTAGGGAGAAAAGAATGTCCTTGATTGGTGAATAGGGGATGTGAAGGAGAAGTAAAGGCCAGAGTAGTTAGCATTACAAGTTCTAGACAAGGAACCAGAGAAAAGTCAGAACAGGGCAAATTTCAAATGTTCATATCAGAGTCCATTGGGATTTCTTGACAAGAGCTTTCAAAATCATCTCTCTATTGGGTTCCTCCTCATTTTTCTTTCGTCTACCAAGGCTGGACTCGAGAGTGATGAACTCAGGATTTGTTTTAGCTGTTGGAGTGGCTAGAATCAGTGTCAGTTCCCTCTCAAGGCTTTTAATTTGTGTGTGTGTGTGTGTGTGTGTGTGTGCGCGCGCGCGCGCGCGCGCGCGCTCGCGCCTTGGCACATGTGGAAGTTAGAGGACAACTTGCCAGAGTTGATTCTCTTTTCACCTTGTGGGACCTGGTGATGGAACTCAGGCTTGGTAGACAGCACCTTTACCTGCTGAGCCATCTTAGCTGCTGGCTCTCGCAGCTCTTCAGAGGACCCAGATTCGGTTCCCAGCATCCCAGTGGAGGGTAACCATCTGTAACTCTAGTTCCAGGAGATCCAACACCCTCTTCTGGCCTCTGTGGGTTTGCATGGTGCACTTACATATATGCAGGCAAAACACTCAAATATTTTTAGTTAAAAATAAATAGCTAAGTATAGTGGTTTATGCCTATAACCCAGCACCCAGGAGGCAGAAGTAGGTGGATCTCTGTACATTCGAGGCAGCCTGGTCTACATCATGAATTTCAAAAGAGAGCTATGTAGGGAGACCATATCTAGAAAAACAAAAATACTGTGAGAACCCATTTTTATGCAAGATTACAAGCCAGAGGACAAAAGAAGTGTGCTCCTCTCCCTCTCTCCTCTCTGTCTGCATCTCTCTCCTTCTGTCTCTGTCTCTGTCTCTGTCTCTTTCTCCCTCTCTCCTCTCTTCTCCTGCTCTCTCTCTCTCTCTCTCTCTCTCTCTCTCTCTCTCTCTCTCTGTAAGCTGCAAGGGATCAAACAAAAGCCTTTTTTTTGTTTGTTTTTTGGAAAGGGTGTTTTGAGACAGGGTTTCATGTAGTCCAGTCTGGCTTGAACTACCTGCTCTTGAGTGCTTGGATTACAAAATAGAAAATTAGGGCTGGAGAGATGGCTTAGTGGTTAGGAGCACTGGCTGCTCTTGCAGAGGACCTAAGTTTGATTCTTAGCACCAACAACCAACTGTAACTCCAGTTCCAAGGGACGCCTTCTTCTGACCTCCTCAGGCATGATACAGGTGCACTTAAACACATACAGGCAATACACTCATACACATAAAAAAAATAAGATTAAAAAAATATTTATGTATATGTATGTATTGTCTGCATGTAGATAAGTGCACCCGTGTCATGCAATGCCCTTGGAGGACAGAAGAGGCTGTCGGATCCCCTGGGACTGGAGTTACAGACAGTTGTTAGCTGCCATGTGGGTGCTGGGCTTCAAACCCGGGTGTTCTGCAAGAACAGCCAGTGTTCTTAACAACTGAGCTATCTCTACATCCCCAAAATAAGATATTTTTAAAAACAAGATAGAAAATTATTACTGTATATTGTTTGAGAAAGTAAAAATAAAAAACAAGAAATTATATTTTAGAGTTTGCTAGGCGTGGTGGTTTCGACCTTTAATCCCAGCACTCAGGAGGCAGAGGCAGGCAGATCTCTTGAGTTCGAGGCCAGCCTGGTCTCCATGGTGAGTCCAGGACAGCTGGGGCTACAAGGGAGACCCTGTGTCAAAAAGACCAAAAAATAAATGAATAAATTATATTTTAGGAAAAAGCTAAAAAAAAATTAGAAAATGACAAACTATGGGCTCTTAACCAAAAAGTTTGTATTCAATTCCTTTTGGTTTTTTATTTTTAAATATTTTTATTTTATGTGTATGCGTGTATTGCCTGCATGTAGGTAAGTGCACCTGTGTCATGCAGTGCTTGTGGAGGACAGAAGAGGCTGTTGGATCTCCTGGAACTGGAGTTATGGACAGTTGTTAAGTGCTGTGTGGATGCTGGGATTCGAACCTGGGTCTTCTGCAAAAACAGTCAGTATTCTTAACTGCCGAGCCATCTCTCCAGCCCCCCACTCTTGTTTTTTCAAGACAAGGTCTCATATATCCCAGGGCTGATCTTAAACTGGTTTTGTAGCTAAGGATGACCTTGAGTTTCTGATTGTCCTACCTATAATCTTGAGCTGGGATGTGTCACCACTCCCAGTGCTAGAGACTAAACCCAGGGCTTGGTGCATGCTAGACAACCACTCTTCCAACTGAGCTACATTCTCAGCCCTTTTCTTACAACTACATCTTTAAAAAAAAAAAAAAACTGAGGGGCCAAAATCTTCTATCACTTATCCTTGATTTCTTCTGGTGGTAAGTTGAGGAAGAACATCATTGAATGCCCATCTTCTTTGCTGCTGAATTTGTCCTATCAACTACCTGCATAGTTGTCTATGGTCAGGCTTCCCTTGGCTGTCTCTCTATCCTTCCTATGCATTGTAATAATTGCAGCTTCTGGCAATAAGTGCTTCCACCTCAATGCTTGTTTCAAGGCACAGTCACTCTATTGCATTTGTGACCCTAGTTTTGTAGGAGCCTCTCCTACAGTTAGTCCTGACCCACATAATAGAAACACCTCTAAACCTGTAGTGATGCGAGTATACCTTGTACAAACACATTTTC